CAGCCTGCGGACTGTGACTTGTTTTAAGAGTTTGTCATTTTTCCATCTCAGCCCATTAATCCCATGAATAAGGAACGGTAGTGCAGTGGAAAAACTGCTGAGTCAAAACACTGCTGTGTGATTCTTATGATCTGTCCTCCTTGCCTCCCAGGACTGTTATGAAGCTCAAATGATATGCTTCTTGTACAAGTCCCCAAATTATCTCCTTTCTCAAGAATGGCTATTTGATGACTTTCAATTAAGAAGTACATTTAAAACATTTTGAAAGCATTCTTTATCTGTCACTGAAGCAAACCAGATTGATTTCCTTAGTCTAGCACCAGAATATTTGAAAACGGTTTCAATTTACGTTTATGGTATGTCCATCCTGATTGTGACTACAATAAGCCCTATTAACAAGGAACAGTATCCTGTAGACATCCATCCTGAATATACACACTACCTAATACAGATGCGTACTTTACTACATATGCCACATATAACACAGAGATAAATGAAAATACATCTTACAGAGTCATTTCAGCTCCAACGTTGTGTGTTCCATTTCTAGGATATAGGCTGCTTCTGTGCAATAATCAGCTTTTAATTGATCACATTTCATAAGTGTATAATTAGAACTGCTTAAAAATATGGTAGAGTGTGTAAGACTGATTCATATCTTAAGCCCTCAAACATACTCATTTTGGCTTTTGCAGTTGCCCTGGTTGCTAACTACTCTCTCACTAAAAGTGACTGAGAAGCAGAGACCTGGGAAAGACGAGCAGAGCCAACCCTACTGAGCCCCCAGAGGAAAGTCTGTGCTAAACATTCTTACTCCTCTCATGCAATGGAGAGGGTATGGTCTTGTGTGAACTTTCTGCCTCACACTATGTAATACTTACTTGACAGGGTAAGGTAATTTTCTAGTAGTTTCAATAAGACAAAATCAAAATGACCAGAGAGAGATTCTAGAGGACATAGTGTATGCAGGCACACTTACCATGATTACTATGTTTGGGGGAACTGGGGATTCTCTTTCAATGATTAAAGTCTGACATATCATAAATGGAAAAAAAAAAAAAAAAAAGATGATTATGTTACAGAACATAATCTCTGTCTCTGACAGAGACAATGGTCTGTGCTCAGTCATCTTCCCGGCCCACAGCCTTCCTCTTTTAGACCACCTCATACTGAGCTGGGGCAGTGTAACTGTGTTCCCACCAAAGGTGACACAAGCCACAGCCAGGCCTGGCCTTTAAAAACATGCAGTGCCACTTTTTACAGTAACCTTTTTTCCCCTGCTGACTCAACATGTACCCAATTGGCTTGGATATAAAATGGAGGATACTGCCCAAACCACACCAGATTTTCCATGAATGAGAAAAAAAATTAATCTCAGTTAAGCCTCTGAGATTTGGGGGTTAATTATCACTGCAACATACACAGGGTAGATTAGTACCCTGGCCAACCGACAACAATAAAAAAAAAAGCTAGAAAGAAATTAAAGGGAATTTTTCAAAATGCATCAAACATCTTTTTCTTTTTTTCAAAGAATATTCAAAAGCCAAAAACTAAGTTTTGATTGAAAAAGAACACCAATCTACCTTTCACCTTACAGGCATTTGATTTTTACCAAATCAGATGAACTTGAGTTTCAGTTGCTTAGGCCTCCAGGTATAGAAGGTCGTTAGGAGAGCAAGCCTGAGCAACGTAGGAGTGTAAAAGGAGACTGCACCACTTCAGCGGAGATTCTCAGAGAAAAGACGAATACAAAGGATACTCCCACGCGAATGCTAGGAAAACTGTCCAGCCAAACCTTGGTTAAGAAGAGGAACAAGTCTTCCTTGGGCATCTGTAACTGGAAGTCAAACTCCCAGCAGGATTAGCTTCAAAATACATACCACCGAGATGGTCCAAAAAAGTCTCAAACAAAAGGTCCTAAGTTATTAGTGCCTATAAATAACTGGGTTGGACGTCCATTCTAAATTCTCCTTGGACTCACTTTTATTTCCTTCTATAAGTAATTCCCACAGGTAAAGTTCCCAGAAATATGAGGTCATGGCTAAAAATCACAAAATACGGAATGAATCAAGGTTACAAAATAGAAAAGCAAAAGAGGACATAAAAGATAGATGACTTATAAAGACTGCAGATAACAGAATTTTTCTAGGCTATAAAGGAAGTAGGACAATTATGTTTTAAGAGTTTTTAAAATGTGAGTAAAGGGAAAGCTTGTAAGAGAGATGAATCATGGCAGGAATAGCCTTTGCTACTGAAAGGATGAGTTTAGTAGCAAAATAGAACAGCTAAAGCAGAAGAGTGAAGTGGACTGCAGAGGCGATGAGGAACTTCAGAACGCAGCCCAGAGAGATTAAGACGGAAAATACGAGAGACCAGTTCTGAGATATATATGGTACAATTAGTGGATCACACATATGCTTAACTGGAGTTGCAGAAGAAGGGAGAAAGAAAATGGGGGATGAGACAATATTTGGAAACATAATGGTTGAGAGTTTTCCAAACTGAGGACAGACAGCAATCTACAGATGGAGGAATTCCAAGAAATCCCAAGCTGAATACATTTTAGGAAGTCTACAATTATACAATGAAGATATAGAATACCACAGATAATGAAAAGGTCTTAAGAGCAGAAGTGGCTTAGATGTGGTTTTTGCTATCAGTTAATCTTCCAACTTTACTTTGCAAAAATCATTGTACCCCGTCTCGTTATCTCTTAGCCAGAGTATTTACATAGAGACAAGTTGCAGTTGACTATTTTAGCCTTCACAGCATCATAAAATCATTATAAAACAATAAAGCTCAATGCTTCACAATGGTAGAGAGTTTCACGCTTCAGAACCTATTGGGAAAGTACAGGTATTTAATAAACATCTAATTAGAAATCTAAGAAGCATATCTGTGCATGTCAGACTGCTAACTGAAATCTTCTAATGACTTCCCATAGCTTATGGCAAACAAGTTCATTCTGTAGTATGCAGAGTTCAAGGCTTTTCAGAGGCAGGATGCAAAGTAGTCTTCTGAGTCTGATCTTTCAATATGTTCCATATGGCTGCTCAGAATTACCTGTAGATGCCACAACATGCCCTTCAGCTCTATCTTTCTTTAGTGGCTCCTTCTAACTGGAATGACTTTCCCATCATCTTCTATAGCAGACATCCACTCATCCTTCGAGATTCTGCTGAAATGTAAGCTTAACACAATCTATGTTCCATGAAAGGAAGGTTTTTTTTTTGTTGTCATTGTTGCTTGCTGCTGTATCCACAGAAAAGTACCTGACATATAGCAGGTACTCAAGAAATATTTGTTGGGAATTCCCTGGTGGCCCAGTAGTTAGGACTCCAGGCGTTCACTGCCGAGGGCCGGGGTTCAATCCCTGCTCAGGGAACTAGGATCCCACAAGCCGTACAGCAGCCAAAAAAAAAAAAAAAAAAAAAAAAAAAAAAATTTTGTGAATTAATTAAGTAAATAAAATGTGAGTGCCTCTGTGAAGCATTTCCTTACACACCCATGACCAGATTATATAATCTTTCATCATCTTTATGTACTAACCTTTTGACCTTGCTTTATGTCTGTTTTATAAACGTCTTCTTCACTAGACAAAAAAAAAAAAAAAAAAAAAAAAAAAAAAAATTTGTTGAATTAATTAAGTAAATAAAATGTGAGTGCCTCTGTGAAGCATTTCCTTACACACCCATGACCAGATTATATAATCTTTCATCATCTTTATGTACTAACCTTTTGACCTTGCTTTATGTCTGTTTTATAAACGTCTTCTTCACTAGACATATGCTAGAGAGTAAAGAACATATGTTACTATTTCTGTTTAATCTTCAATTGCCCAGCAGTGCAACAGGTAGGTAGCAGGCACTCCGTAACTCTTTGTTGACCAAATAAATGGACCCTGTGGAGTTTGAAAACCGAATTCTTCAGCTTCGTTTTCGCACCTCACAGGAAGTATTCCAGAAAGCAACAAAGCCATGCTATGCAAAGAGCCAGAAAAAAATACACAACTGGCTGAACGATGGTAAGCACGCATGCCATATTAACCAAATAACAGTTTTTAGGTAATGACAAGCTACAGATGATGAATAGCAGATGGACTGAAAGCAAAGCTATAAGTAGCACATTACAGTGACAGGCAAAAAAGAAAAAAAAAAAAAACAACAACTGTCCACTGTCTTTAAAAAATGTTGCCAAACATGGGCTTCCCTGGTGGCACAGTGGTTGAGAGTCCGCCTGCCGATGCAGGGGACACGGGTTCGTGCCCTGGTCCAGGAAGATCCCACATGCCGCGGTGCGGCTGGGCCCGTGAGCCGTGGCCGCTAAGCCTGCGCATCCGGAGCCTGTGCTCCGCAACGGGAGAGGCCACAACAGTGAGAGGCCCGCGTACCGCAAAAAAAAAAAAAAAAATGTTGCCAAACAATCAGTTTTCAAATTGAAATACACTCATCAACCTCATAAAACATGTTTATATAATAAGAATTCTTTTCTAAGCACTACACTGATAGAAAATTTCCTTGATGTTTATCATTGGAAATGAATGACATCATCGTGAGAGTGAAATTAACAAGCAAGCAACTTATGAACAGTCAAAGCTCAAGACTAACTGCTTAACAAAATCAAATACAGTTTCCAATTATAACGACAACACTGAAAATATACAAGAATTCCATTTGAAATGTTTGCCAAGCTTTGTGCTTTCTCTGCTGAGATTTTTCTCAAGTGGCACTCACATTCAGCTGCTCAAAATGCAAAAATGCTAAATGTAATTCTTAGTGTCAATTTAATTTAAACACTTTTTCTTTTTGGTTTGCTTTGTTTTTCTGAGCACAATGAGGCTTCTCTTCCACCTGTTTCCCATTTAGTCACAAGTAATCAAACACGTCAACTTCACTCACAGTTCAAATACATAAGTGGGGCACATGTTTTCTCCTTCTGTACGAAAATGTTACAGGTTTTGTGGAAGCAAAGCGCTGACATTGTATTTAATCCTCACTTACCGGTTGGAGCAGGTAGATGAGAGATTCCTCTTGGATTATTATAATTGGCAAAGGAGTGATTCGAGTTGCTTGGAACAAAGTGCTCACTGATGCCATAATCTGGTCAAAACGCCCAGCAAGTCCTCCCAAGGTCACAATCATATCTACCTAAGAAAGCAAAGGAAAACCAGCAGTCACATATTTAAGGACTTTTAAAAAAATAAATTAATTAAATAACATCAAACACTTCCACAGAGCTTTCAGTACCCTATTTTATTAGATAAGCCATGAAAAAATGGCAGACATCATTTGTGTTGTTCATATGAAGGAATTAAGTCACAAGATTGGTGAGTGGCAGTCAGGTTTCAATAGGTTTTCCCATCTGCCTATTCACCTGGAAAACTAGCCAACTCTTCCTTTAAAACTCTGTTCCATGTCCCTTCCATGTGGAAGTCTTCCTGATTTCACAATTGGTGCCTCTCCCGTCCACTCCTCACGGCATCCCTGTGGGCACTTTGATCACCCAACAGTGAGTGAGCCCCCCCTAGAACCCAGGTATCTTAAGGACCGGTACTGGCTTTTCACCAAAACTAGTAAGTTGCCTAAACTCTCTGTACCTCATTTTTATGTTTACATGTAAAAACTGGATAATAATTACCAGTTGAGAGGGTTGCTGGGGGGATTAAATGAGGTAACTAAATAGGTCAATAAGTGCAAAGCATTTAAAACATGTTCACAACACAGTGACTGTTTAAAAAGTGTTAGCTATTCATCTATTGTATTATTTTCAGTATATTACATTTATATTGCTATTTTAATTATTTTTACATGTTGTTTGGTATGTTCTTTCTTTTCATTTAACACCTTAAGCAAAGCATTTCCTATGACTACAGTATAGTTTATTTAAATGTTCCCCTGTTGTTGAAAATACATTTCCATGATATTTGTATATAAAATTACTGTGATGTTTTCCTAACATATGAGACAATGGTTAAAGAATGGCTGCAGGGCAGTGGAAGGGGGCAGAGTAACAGTCTCCTCCTGCATAAGGCAGTTGGCCGAAGGTCTTAAGGAGAATGAAAAAGAGGCACTGCCTGGTCTCTTTCCTTCTGCTGGTCAGCCTGATCTTGTGATGCATCAGCAGAGTCAAAGCTGGTATACTGATCATGAAAAAGGAAAGACAGAAGAGCTTAATTAAATTATTATAAGAAAACCTTACATACAATAAAAAGTGACAGTTATAATCACTCTACCTGGAATAAAATAGAAATTATTTACAGATAGGAAGTATTTGGCTCTTAGTTTTAGGTTTTTTTTGTTTTTTTTTTTTTGCGGTACACGGGCCTCTCACTGTTGTGGCCTCTCCCATTGCAGAGCACGGGCTCCGGACGCACAAGCTCAGCGGCCATGGCTCACGGGCCCAGCCCCTCCGCAGCATGTGGGATCTTCCTGGACCGGGGCACGAACCCGTGTCCCCTGCATCGGCAGGCGGACTCTCAACCACTGCGCCACCAGGGAAGCCCCTGGCTTTTAGTTTTAAAACAGTACATTTTAAAAGCTCAGATAACATCTAGTCTGAAGAAGGCATGATTTTAGAAGAGTAACATATCACCCAAGCACCGGTATAACCTGTTCAGTCTCCAGAGGAAGAGTAAGTGGCTTAAGCTCCATAAAGCCAAAGGCTGTGCTTCTCTGGTCCACAGGTTGTGGCCCTGGTCCTCTGCATAGTGCCTAACATGTATAAGACCTCAAATGTTTGATGAATGAGTAAGTAAAGACACTGCAAGAAAAAACTAGTCAGCCTAAGGAAGAAAGAGATTAATTGCCGTACTACAGGAATATATAAATCAGAATGCGATTCCATAAAAACATAAAAAAGTAAACTACACAGAAAAATTAAGAAATTTGGAATGAGTTTCCTATTTTTGACCTTGTCAGAGTATAAGAATTTTAATTTTGAATAAGATGCTTCAGGTCAAAGCTAGAATATTTTAAGACAAGTATACCACATATCTAGAGGATCTAAAATTTTCTTTGGCGATCTTTCTAGAACTCAGCATTAGATTTGAGGCAGAGAAAGGCCATGCACTCCAGGAAGCATGTATTACTCCTAACACACAGGTGAAGACTGGGACATCTTAGTCTTCAGAGGAAACTTACAAACCTTTGTTTGGGGTTAACAAGTCCAGTAATCGCTCCTGGTCGTGTTTAGGAAACCTTATTAGTAAAGCCACTCCAGACTGGAGGGGGAAAGGCCCAGAAATTATACAGGACCTCAGAAGAACTAAAGAGAATTTGCTTTAAACTGAAGAGAAAGACACTAAAAGAAGTTATATATGAAATATAAAGTAGAGAAAGTTCTAAGGCTCTGGTAAAAAGCACATGGCACAGTCCTATCTACATAATCCTAAATTCATATCAGAACCAAGGCCTGATGATAAAATAGTTGATTCACTATGCAGATTCTGGAATCCTTTTTGTAGGTTCTCAATTTTTCATTACTATACTCCAAGCCTTGAGGGATCCCATAACCTTTAAGGCTGAAACTTAATCCACATCTTCCACACTGGGATATCATGATGAATAAGCAATATCTGTAAACCAGTCACTGAATTTTTCAGAATAAAGAAGCAGCGAGATTACTTCTCATCACTACTCATTTTCCCTAC